CCATCTCATCGGCCAGCGAAAGAGCTAGAGTGGCGGTTCGATTTGGTGGATACTTTGAAAGATTGGTACCTCAGTTCCGATGAGATCGTCAGGATCTCGTCTGCTTTTCTAGAGCTGGCCTGGTAAGAGAACCTCGCTTGGGATTTAAAGTAGTTGAGCTACTCAAAGATTGTTCAACATACGGCCCAATTCAAGTTGATAACGGTGCAAGCTGCCCATCGTCAGGGTCGAACACTGAGCAAATAAGATAATTCTTTGGCCGAGGCAAATAAGGGGATTGCCTCATTGTAAAACAATCTTTGGAGAATTAAGGATAATGAAAAACTTTGTCTAAAGCTTAAGAGTTCTGCCACGGAGAGTAAAAAGCCATTTTGAATGTTGGAGGCCCTTATGAAATGATGAACTTAAAGAGGTGGCTTCGTCCATTCCGATAGAAGAGCACATAGCAAAGTTAGTAAAACAATTCCTGCGTGGCATACATTGCGCGGTCAAGGTTTATGCACCAAGTGTAATTAACGCAAGGTTTTCTCAGTCAGATGAATTTGCAACGCTTTTTCCCAACAAAATTTAAGATTCCTCAGAAGATTATGTAGAGGAATGTGGCAGCGATGAACATTGCCCGACTACTTGTTGACCCCTCGACAAAAATTAGTAAGTCTTTTTTATGATTAGTCGAGAGGAAATTAATATAGACAATTGTAACTGTTTCAGTATATAAAAAAATTTTATTTGACATTTTTGTGCTTGTTTAATGATTCTTGTGATAGATTTGTGGCTATCAGTTATTTGCTCAACTCGAAAGAGAGCCGATCTTTTTTTCTCTATTCTCTTTAGTTGATCGATAAACATACTTCATTCAAATTGTTTGATTGGATTATCGTCTCCGAAGAGACTATCATCTGAGGTGATTTTTATAAAGTATCGTGGATCTTGTTGTTGTTATTATATCAAATCACCTTCAGAGGTTAATCCCGAACTTAAACAGCATATCTTCACACTGATTGAAAATTAACTTTAACATATTGATCGACTGTGATTCATGTTGATCGACCAAAAAAATCAATCAATTGTGAAAACTTAGTTTCCTCTTCTTTTTTTTCTTTTTGTCGATCGAGTAGTTTAAATCGATTGGTTGCTCTTACACAAACATGTGCCATCAAAAATCCTCATCGCGTCCGATCGATTGGATCTCAACCTTGGCAAAGTTTACTCCTTACAGTAGGAACGGATCTCATCGTTGCCTGTGAGAGTAACCTCCAGAATTTGTTTCCGAAAAAACTTACACTACTCTTGGAAGAATTCATACCCGGACCTTGACGCTAGCGAGCAAAGAACAATCTCTAAAAAGTTGACCCTCTCAATTTTGGGGAATCAGGCTCGCAATTCAAAGGCAGTGTAAAAAAAAACAATTGACCTACCGTAGCCAATCATTCTGTAATTCATACATTTTCACTTGATCAATTTAAGTTCCCCGAACATTGAAAAATGACAGTCAAACATAACAATAATATTGGTGGCGACATTTTTTCTTTTCTCGTGACCTCTGGTCGGTCATTTCTGTGATTTGATTTGTTTTCTTTCCTTTTTGGGAAATTGGTCGTTGAGTTGTCCTGCCACAGTGTCAAGCTAGCATTTCATGGTGTCGGTATTTCTTGTCGTGGTAAGCCCTTAGCAGGCCTTTTGACGGACAAATCATGTTGGCATCATTATTTGCTTACTGTCATTCAGCCAGATCCGTGAAAGACGAGGATGTGATGACGCTTCAGATATGGTAGTTGTACTCGACTGGTAACATCACCTCCATTCCATGGGTCAACATGAATGGTATCTAAAGGATCACTGATGAGGGTGTCGTTCGAATTTCCCACAGTCCTAACGGTAGCAAGTCTGACTAATTTCCTTTAGCCCCTTCGACTTTCTTCCTCAGCAAGTTCAGAATGATCTTATTAGCCGCTTCAGTCTGCCAATTCATTTGAGGGTGATGAACTGACGCAAACTTTAGATCAATTCCCTGACTTATATGAACTGACGCAAACTTTAGATCAATTCCCTGACTTGTACAAAAATCTTTCACTCGATTTGAATATTGTGTTTTGTTGTCAATATTGATAATCAATGGCAAACCGTATCTGCAGATGAGATAAGACCAAATGAAATTTGGAATGACCTCTGCAAAGATTCGAGCAAGTGGTTTAGATTTGACCCACTTCGAAAAATAGTTGACCGCTACTAGAAGCAACCTTTCTTGGCCTTTATACAGGGAAAAAAAGACCCATAATGTCCAATCCTCAAGGGGCAAACAACTAGAAGCTTGTAATTGGCTGAAGCTTTTGTGCCTGCCGATGGTGCAAAAACGCATACTTCCAACAATATCCACATTTCTTTGAGAATTTCTTCGTATATTTGAGAAGTGTAGCCCAGAAGTAGTCTTGTCGCTGCACACGATAACATAGAACTTTACCCTCACTATGGCTTCGGCGGCATTCCCCGGAGTGTACTTCTCGAAGGACAACTTGTGCTTCATCTTCCTTCAAACATCTTAGGTACACCGAAGAGGCTGATCGTCAAAAGAGTTTCCCTTCGATCATCAAAATATAATGTGACTTAGATTTTGAAATGCCTCGGATTCGTAACATGTTCCGATATTTTTTCCAGTCTCCAAGCCATCAAAATATAATGTGACTTAGATTTTGAAATGCCGATATTTTTTCCAGTCTCCAAGTAGAGAACATACAGGTCCATCCAACTCTTTATTCCTTCGACAGTTAACTCCATAGCCTCAGGTTCCTCGATTGTCGGTTGAATAAACCTCTGTTGTGCTCTACCTAAACTAATGTGTTTAGAAAGGATGTTAGTAATGTGTTTCTCCTCCCGATTGACGTGCTCGAGCCGAAAATTTTTGAATCTCTCGATTTCTTTCTATGTCTTGGCAAGGTATTTTGCCATCAATTCATCTTCCACCTCAAAATCCCTTTTGACTTGTGTTACAACAAGCAGTAAATCAGACTCTACTAATAAATCTCAGGCACCAATTTCATATGTCAGACAGAGCCCTGCAATCAAAACTTCATACTCAGCTTGATTAATGGTGACATTGTACTTCATTGAGATCGACTAATAGAGATGTTCTCCGGCTGAACCACTTAGCTTCAGTCCTAGATCAGTCGTCGCTTGCTTGGAAGCCACATCAATATACAAGATCAATGTTCGATCGCTAACAAGATTCTGCTCACTTAGTTCCTCCGTTTCAAAAAAATCTGCTAAGAAATCAGCGATCGCCTGGGCTTTGTTTGTCGTTTAAGGCACATAAGTTTATGTCAAACTCACTGAGCTCCACCGCTCATTTTAGCAATCGTTTGGAGTGCTCCGGCTGTATGAGTACCGACTTCAGCGGATAATCGGTAATGACCTGATCGAATGCATTTGAAAATACAGTCAGGGTCTATGAACGAAAATAATCAAGGCAAATGTTAGTTTTTCCATAATTGAATACCTGGTTTCAACACCTCTGAGTACCGACTAGTATAAATAGGAAATTGTTTCCCGACCTCTGTCCTTCGTCTCTCACATTCCTCTTCTTCGAATGTGGGCGGTTGATGCCAATTTGGCTAGGGCAGGGTCTGAAAAGGATTCCTCGCTAGCGATATGGCTATTGTTCATCTCCAACATCTCAAAAAAAGACTTTGGTTCAAGCATATTCAAGTCAAACTCGAAACGCACTTCTCTAACCCTTTGTACCAGAGCATTCTGGGCTATCAACGGTTGAAAACTTTGCACTTCTAACATCTCCTTCTAAAAAGGGGTGATGTAAGACCACAAGCTTTTGTTCTCCCCCTGCTGGATTTGTAGTAAGGTTTGTGTTTTCTCCTCGGCTTTTGCATATTGGCAAAGTGCATCGAAAAAAGTATCCTGAACTCTACAAAGGTTGGAATAATTCCAACAGATTGAGCATGAAACCAGCGAAGGGATGATTCCTTAAGTGTCATCAGGAAGAGGCGGCATTTTTTGGTGACGTAAATCTACATGATTCCGACCAATGATTCAAAAGATGTCAGATGGTCAGTTGGATCGCTCCTTCCCTTATAAGGATCAAGATGGGGAATCATAAACTTTGTCAGTAGTATGGTCTCTAAGATTTGTCAAGTGAAGGCACCATCAGGGGCTAGCTAAACTGGTGCTTCGACACACTCTACTCAATGTCTAACCAACAACGTAGATTTAGTGCTCGCTAACTGTGGGGAATCTCCTTTCCCTTCGATCGCCTGGTTATTGGCGCATCTGATCGATGCAAGCGGATGCTCCGAGGGAACTCACTGAGGATGAGTTCCCCGAGATTAAACCAATGAGAGCACATGTTGATCATTTCTTTGCATGATTGCTTGTTTAAGGGCCTCGAATTGACTCATCTGCTCTCGCAGCTCTGGATTTGTTAAATCTCTTGAATCACAGATTCTCCGTTGAATTCCATCATTGCGGGCCCTTCTGTTGAGATTCTCCTTTGTAATTGACTAGGCTTCTTGTATGTGGCATATCCACGCTCACCACATCACCTTTTAGAATGTTGAATCTTAAATTATCTTCTTGAAAGACACACCCCAAGAGTTAGAGATGAGAGGAAAGAAGTGAAAGAAAGAGGGAATTCAAGAGAGTCTGAGAATTCTAAAGTGTTAGGGGGTGTGAAGAGTGGGGATCCCTAATTGAAAGAATCCAAAAATCTCTTTATTGATGTCATGACATCTTATTTACAAGGATCTCAGATTACAATTACATATAAAAAAATGTCAGTTACAATAGGTGTCTGGGTGGCTACTGAATCGACACATCTGTCGAAATAAAGATTACAAGGTAATGAAAATAAAATTACGGCATTGATTGGTCGTCTCAGATCTTAAGGTTGACCAACTGTGTCGGTTGATCGCATAACAGAGAGAGAGAGAGAGAGAGAGAGAGTAATGTAACATCATTCATTGCGATGAGTGAAAGCGTTTGAAGAAAGCGTTTTAAGTTCCCTAAAAAATTCAGCTTAAATTGGACTGAATATCTGTCAGCAAACAAGTTGGCATGAAAAGGCAACAGCCTTGACACATCGCGTCCAATAAATTTACAGGTAAATATTTTTTTTAAGTAAAAAAATGAAACGGCCTACCAAGCATGAAATGATACGGTACTATTGTATGCACTGCACAGTGTTAAAATCAACATTAATAAGACATGAACAAAATGAATGCACGATGAAAATCAAACTGATTGCTTCATGTGCTCTGCAGCGTAACTAATCTATCAAAAGCATAGGGGGCTGAAACCTGACAACATCGGCTTTCATGAAGAGCAGCTCCCATCTTGGACATCAAAAGATGAACACAGAGCCTTCCATATAGGAATCAGCAATTTAAGTGGTGGTTTTAATTCCTGCAAAATCAATTCCGATATCCATAACCAGAAGCAAGACTGTTTAAAGACCGAGGGGAATTCTTTTTGTACCTGAAATACAAGAATGAGTTGATCTTCCCCGCGCAGAATCAAAGCCAGGGTCCAGTAGCAGGTAAAAGGAGTCACACATTCATTTAACACAGGCCTTAGAATATTGCCACTCGGAACAAATCTACGAGCAATTCGCCCGCTAACCAAAAAAAAAAAAAAACGTGTGGTAATTGCCTTGAAACAGAAAACTAGAATCGGAGCACAACAAAAAGATAACAAAATGCTAAGGATAAACATCCTATGGATCGACAAAATCATCAAAAATATTTGTTCAAACAGTCTAGCTTAATGACTAGTGAGTGATGATAGATTTGTTCTATTTTATGCCTCTTCTTACATAAAAAAACGTGAAATCACTTATCCACAAAAGAATTAAACACTGAATGCTCCAATCTAAATCAAATAGCTGTTGAGATATATTCTCATTGTCATGTTCACAAATAGAATGAAGTTGATGTTTATTAAGAAATTAATACTTATTTCACTGATAATATCAATAGATGATGAAGTGGCCAACACTAATGGACTAATATGGGCAGGAATATCAATTAATATATCTAGAAGATAGACTGAACCCGGATCTAAATTTCAAGAATAGCTGTGAATTAATGAAAAGAAAATCTTCCACCAACTGATCTAAATTTCAAGAATAGCTGTGAATTAATGAAAAGAAAATCTTCCACCAACTGATCTAAATTTCAAGAATAGCTGTGAATTAATGAAAAGAAAATCTTCCACCAACTAGGTAGTTGATTGAGGGTCTGTTTGGGGTAGTTGCAGCTTATCCAGTAAACTGGTTTGCAGTAGCTGCCCCAGGAAGCTGTTGCAGGAAAGTTATTTGTCTACTTGTTTTTTTAAAGTTTGAAAACAGTTGTGTGGCAACTGTTTCTGGATAAATGATCATTCTACTCCTATGCAGTAATGTTTGCAACAAAACTGTCATAGCAATATATTTGATACTTGGGAAGCAAAAAACTACTTCAAAACACTAGAAAGATAAGAAGTGAGTACCAAGTGTACTAAAAAAAGTATGAAAATTATATTTAAAAATTATCATATTAATTTTAAAATCAGTCGGTGTATGTCCCGAGTTACGTCGTCCTCCGGGGATGCCATCCAAGCCGGATCACTATTGGAATCTGTCGAACTGTGCCCATTGGAAGAATTCATACTTCTTCGGACCGTCTGTCCACCGTGGGCACCAACAGAACTTTCTCCCGTAGCTATGTGTCCGGAGTGACGTCAGTAGGGAAGGTTGTAGCCCGCAATAGCAGAGCGCTCGTCGAAAGGTCCCTGAAATCCTAAAGTTCATCATTCCTGAATGATTAAAAAGACAATTCATTAGTCATAACAGAAGTTGAAATTGCTACAAGAATTAATTAATTATAATTTTTTGCAAGCATGTGGTCTCAGAGAACTCAGCATATCAACAAACGAATCTATCACTATAAAAAGACAGTGGACCTTTTACAAAAATGAGCTCTTGGTTGTTTTTAACCAACATAAAACTTATTACAAAAAAAAATCATTCTAAAGAACCCCATAAACCGATGCACCGAAAAGAAGAGAGAAACTTGGTTGCCTACATTAGAATTTCACATGTAACTAATGCACCGAAAAGAAGAGAGGAACTTGGTTGCCTACATTAGAATTTCACATGTAATGCTAACCAACAGCGACCAATAGGTCATCTAGAAGAACCTATAAAGATCAAACGTATCACTTAAAAAAAACATGTGAAAAGCAAATGAGAAAAAAATTACACTTACAAATAGTGTAAATAGTTCAAACTATAAATATAAAATGTAAAATACAAATTACTTTAAATAAAAGAAATATAGTATTGAATATTCAATACATAGTACTGAATAAATTACAAATACTCCTATCAGCCTCCTACTAACGCATCCGTAATTTGTTCCCTTAACTCTGTCACGGCCAACACAAGAATCACCGAATCGAAGCCCCAACAACGAGACAACAAGAACAAACAACATACGAGACAACAAGAACAAACAACCGAAGCCCCAACAACGAGACAACAAGAACAAACAACATAAAAGGAGCGAGATAGGGGATAGGAGATGATACTGTGCGGTTTGGGAGGGCGTCCGGGAGGTAGGTGCGAATAGGGATGGCACCACCGAACAGCAGAGAAATGGAAGGAGGGACAGCTCAAAAACATAGCGACGAGGGAGTCGGGGTCGAACAAAGCGAATTAGGGCAAAGCAGCGGAGTCGAACATAAGGGGTTGAACGGCGAGTAAGATTTCTAAAAAGCCAACCCTCGAATGCAAGTCGCGGGGTTCAATCCGCAGCCGGCGTTTAACCAAGCAGCGGGATTTCATCATCCAAACGGCCAAAATTCACAGTCACTCCCAGCACCATGCTCCGGACGCCAAACCAAACGGACCATGAATATGGAAGGTCGTGTGCTTTATATTTAGAATTCCTTAGTACAAAATGAGCTTTGACATAGTCAAAAAACTTGTACAAAAAAAAATATAGCAATAGGAGCAATGCTGATGGAAAGTACTCAAATTACACCCTCTACCAATAATCATATGATAGAAATCCAATCCACAGCTTATCAAAATGAGATGTTTACTAAAACTCTGGACATAAAAATCCTAGGAAGATGAGCTATCTCAGCATCCAACGGTTAAAGTTTCTCAAAAAAAACCAATGAAGAATTAAGTTGTAGAAATAATGCATGGGAAGGTTGAAAATGTGATCGAAACAAGAGAGAAAGGGGGTTCCACAGAACAATCAAAATGGGGGGGACCATGTTAGTGTGCACAATAGAAGGCCACTAATATAGTACGTGCTATGAGAAAAATCAAGCATAATTTGCTTCTAAGTAAAGCCTTGTAATGATATGCCACGATTGAAGAGCCTAATAGAATAATAACACTTTAGATATAAATGAAACTGGAATTGGCAATTACATCCATGTAGGGATAACCCATAAACAAATTGCCAATAATTTAGAGGGTGAGTGGTTTATCAAGTTCAGAAATTTACTTATCAGAAAAGAAGAAAGCAGCTTGCCTCTATAAGATGAAGCCAATTTTTGTTGAAGTATTGTTGAATCCCTGTGAAAAAAGAAAGCTGAAATTTGTCGGATGGAGATGGTAAAAGCCAACAGTATTCAAACCACGAAAAACATGAACACACGGAAGTTATATAATGTTAAGGCACAGAAACCATCAAAAGGAATGAAAGAGGAGCTTTAAGAAAGCCAAAGGTCCCCTGGTAAAAAAGTGGAGACCTCATCGGAGAGCCGAACAAAACCCTGGGAGCAGTTAATCATTAGAGAGCCAATTAAAACCCAGGGAGCAGTTAATGCAAGAGGTGGTATGCAAAGAAACGACAGTGTATAATGAGAAATAAGAAAAATCAAGATAATAGGATATCCCCATCAAAAGAATAGAACATGACATTGAACATGAAAAAAGAGCAAAAATTTGCAATGAAAAAATTGAAAATGCAGACAAAGGCAACTTTAATGTTGGAGAAGACCGAAACCAGAATCTATGATTGGAGTTAAAAACAGCGACTGGCAAACTGCCAAACACCAAAACGTGGCGCCAAAAAAGAAGAGGTGAGCCCTAACCCATAGCAGTAGAGACTCATGTGAAACATCACACACGCACAAGATGGAAGAGCTGGACAAGCACAAGGCAAAACCTAAAGATTTCAGGACCCCATCTGACCCTCCTTTAAGGGTTGGCTTAGGTGCAATAGAGGCGGACGATCCAGCTAGACTAACTCTCACCAACCTTCATCCTCAATTGCAAAATCATGACTCATTAGGTGATGATCTACTCTAACTAAATAGCCACAAATATACATGATATATTACATTTTAAAATTCATTCATATTCATACTCGAAAGTATGAAAAAACATATCATCAAATCATGCATATAAAATGAACTGCAATCAAACATAATAAAAGTACGTACTCAAAAACTCTGTACAAGCTCCAAAAACTATACGGATCAAAAGTTGTACAAATCAAACATGTATACTCGCTCTAGTATGTATTGTCCCTTCCATAAAGTAAACATAGAGTGAGCAAAAACAAGCTCAACAAAATAATTAATGCTAACAAATAATTTTATACACGGAAAAGAAATAATGTGTGTGCTCATATGAAACTGTACATATCTACACATAAATCACAACACGCTAGAATTGTATAGAACATAAAAAGAAAGAATATATAGTCATAACTATATAATCATAAGAATATTCACATTCATAGAAATGTCATCATAGTCGTGTAATCATAACATCAAAGTAATGTCATCATAGCATAGCAATATCACCTGAAAATATAAAGGTCTTAACTATTTCTATGTTTTGTCTTATCATGAGTCGTCATTCTGCCCCAAAAGTCATATTAACCATTGATAAAGGATGCCCCCCCCCCCAAAAAAATAAACATTATCAATAGTCCTTCTGATACCAACGATTTCATATGTTTTGTTACCGTTTGATCACAAAAGTTCTAGAATTTCATCGTTGTCTGAACACCAGAAGTCAAGAATGCAACATCCTTACATAGCAGACTTACAAGCACCCATGTAATAATAGTCTACTAATAACATTCTTTGTAAGATTTTTTAAAGCAAAATATCTCTAACAAACATTCATAGACATTTCATGTCGCAGGCATGAACCACAACCAAGAATATATACAAGCGATTAATATCATAAGCATAGTCATATGTATCATAGCATGATCATAATATAATAACATCACATGTATCGTAAAAAGAAATTAGTTTTTATTCATAAATTTAATGCACGTATCCATCAACGACATGCAAAAAATTCTACATGCATCCGTCTCAAACGAAAAATCATATGAAAATCTATTGAAAATCATTTTTTTAAGTTAGTACAAGATTATTTCATCTGATTTGACGAAGCAACTCCACGAAAAGTTTGTCAATGATCGTCTAGAGCACACCGCCTCAAGTAGAAACCTGGAATTCTAGGGCAACTTAGGGTTTCATGAAAATTGATTCATAACGTTCATTAACCCAAAACATGTCTTAAATGTCAACACATACCTCAAACGAGCTTCTCGGCATAACCGACCCTTCACCAAACTTGTCTATTCCACTTCC